CAAATTAATAAGAACATTGCTTTTATGAGCTGTGAGGGGTGTCCCGTTGGTGACGCCTATGTTTGGAAATGTACTCACTTTAACGAAAAATATTATGTTTGATACTTACGAAAATTATTATTTCTTTTATGTTATTCATTATTCCAAAAATTGTCACGCATGATACGATAATAAGAATTAAAGCACAAATTATTGATATTACTGGATCGAGCTCTATTGAGCTATTTAGACCTTGTGTGATCTCATTAAAACTGGCGAGAGCAGCCATTTTATAAGCGTGTGTGAGTAGCAGGCCTATTCCACAAAACTGAAAACGAAGAAGTAAGTAATATAATAAGTACGTATAGTTTGAATAAATACATGTATTAAAGTTTCTTTATAATAAAAATTTGTTTGTTTCTACATCCAATTATATTGTTTAAACTTTCCCGGATGTGATGTTATTAAATTTAACATACAGCAATAATGATAAAGGAGCGAATAAATCAAATATTAATGTGAAAATTCATTTTCCATTTAGACCAACTATAAATTACCTTATGTTAACAAGGAAAAATTTGTTGCTGTTGTCACAATCTCGCCGGGAATCGAACCCGGGACCTTTGGCTTTACGCACCAATGCTTTGACCACTAACCTATGAGAGATGACAACAGCAACAACAACAAACCGTACTCAAAGGTCAGAAATCTGTCGAATTAAAGTAATTATACTTTTTAAATAAATGGAATGTAAATAAATTGAATAAACCAGTGTCGCTAACAGATTCATCTTCGTCTGACTATTGGCCTCGCAAATAGACCATAATCACATCCTTATCCCCCTCTAGTCTCACAAATAGACTGATACCTCTATCTATTAACGTCACGCACGCTACAGTAAGTTGTAGTTTTAAACTGGTGTAATTACAGTAGAATAAACGTAGGTTTTTTGTTTTTCAATTTGTAATCAGGTAGACTTTTGTGAACAATATTCTTCAAGTATGCTAGAATGGTGTTATAGGCGGATGATGAGAATATCGTAGGTAGAAAAGGTTAGAAATGATGAGGTATTGGAAAGAATAGGAGAACAGAGGACTGAAAGTCAATAAAAAATAGGCGAGATAGGTTGGTAGGACACCTTCTCAGGCATGAAGGTCTGGTAGGTAGATCTAGATTAGATTACTGTTCGCAAATAGTTAAGGAAGTTTTAGGGAAATGCGAAGTTTAGCTCAGGATAGGAAAGAGTTGAGGTACGTGTCCAACCAGTTTTAGGACTGATGACCTTATGATGATGCGAATGAGGTACTAATATTTCACAATGACCTTGAAAAACGTTAACCCTTAATAAAAATTTTTCTAACGCTGACCAATTAATAAAACCAACTGACCTTTTATGACCAATTTCTCACCTTTCAGATGGTATAATTGCTCAATCGAAATTCCACAAGTGATACTTCCGAAGAACAGAGTATCAGAAGTCTTAAAAGCTATCCACGGCGAAGGGCATTTTGGCAAAACGAAGATTTTAGGAAAGGTTCGCGAGTGATTTTATTGGCTACGAAGAAGTGATGTGTGGAGGACTAGTGAAAGAAATGTCCGACCAGCACCGCCAGTATAACGTGGGAGCGACACTTGAGAGTATCGCAGATGAAGTAGCAGGACAATATAATACAATAAATACAATCATTCAGATGATAGACGCACGTTAAAAACTGAGAACAATATTTATTTAAATCATTGAATCATTTTGAACTTCGGTTATACAATAATTTCATTTTCACTTTGAGTTTCATAGTCTATAAATGTAATTGTCATGCACTTGCAGGAATGCGTGAGAATATAAATGCTACACGATTAGCTCATGCGAGCCATGGGCACCGCAACATTGGCCTTGGCTCCTCTGCCGAGCGCGTATCAGTTTTACCCCTACTCCGCGGCCGGCTGTAATGCGACATGCTGTAGATCAGGGATGGCGAACCTTTACGTATCGACGTGCCATTTTTATAAAAAAAAAGTTTAATAAGGTCATAGGATAATTTTATCTGTGATTATTGGAAAAATAATAAAAATAAAACTTGAGTATTTCCGATAATTCTCTGAANAATTTTTAAATGCCTTGGCCCATCCCGCACCTAGGTATTACCTATACCAGGGATGGCGAACCTTCACGTATCGACGAGCCATTTTTATAAAAAAAAAAAGTTTAATCAGGTCATAGATGTGCCATCAAATAATTTTATCTGTGATTATTGGAAAAATAATAAAAATAAAACTTGAGTATTTCCGATAATTCTCTGAACTGAAAATTCTTTGATCAAAGAATTAATCACAGAAACATTAGTGACGTGCCAAAAATATTGTGTAGCGTGCCACTAATGGCACGCGTGCCATTGGTTCGCCATCCCTGCTATAGACAGAGGAAAAAATTTGAAGCGATGTAATAAAAGTTTCACTTTAAAAAGGTGACGTTATTGCAATTAAAAGATAACGCCAATGCGGAATGAACTTCTGACGTGAATGTTGGGGATAAAATCAGATTTATTTAAGCTGTTATTCTTCATACCAACCGATTGATAACTACATTTGACATTTGCATTTGATGTAGCTGTTTGGGCGACTTAAACTTTTAACTTGAACCTACTTTCCTTAATGACGTAGTGATCGTACAACGAATTATGTTTACTATTAGGTGTGATTAGCTAAATAAAAAGAATAATTTAGTAAATGCATTTTTCTTATCGATGCTTTATGGATAATACTCACCAATACAATTATGGTTGAAAAGTAGAGCAAGAATCTGACGAATTTCTTGGAACACTTACACATGGTAGGAATGGACAGGATACAAATCTGAAAGTATTTTTATGTTACTTTGTTAGTCAAAACAGTAAGTTATCTTTTAACAAGTAGCTCGGAAGACTGTTATCACATATTTGAAATGTTACAATTAGCAGTCAATGTAAGTAGATGTCGATATAGTGCCAGTTACATAAGGCTAATTGGTAACGTGCACTCAAATTAATAAGAACATTGGCTCATTAAACTCAGAGGCCATTTGACATAAGAGTAGTCCTTCGTGCGCGCACAACATTGTTGAGTAAGTCACAAGTAGAGTAACTGAATGGGGAGTCTTGCTGTTCACTAAAATGTCTGTGGAATTTCTTGAAAAACAGGTGCAACTCAGTACACGTGAAAGAAGTGAAACTTCTTTGGCGATCTCTATACCATTATGACGAATAAGTAATGATTGGTGAAAGAAAGAGAGAGTACGAGAATTTTCAGGATTTATGCATTCCAACATATTTTATCCTTAGTCCACCTAAGGAGTATTACTTCAGTACGTTTTTATGTAATTCAATAACGAAAAAATGGTCAAAATTTTTTTTGCTTCCGTTTATTTTTCCAAGTACTTAAGAAACCGTAAACTATTAATAACTACAAAGAATTAGAATTAATACATAATAATACTCACTCTTACCATAAATAAATATTAATTATTGTTACCATTTACTGTAATACACTTACTGTAAAATATAACCAAAAAATTAATGTAGCAGTATATTATAGTGAATATACACAATACTATAATATGTGAGACGCCGGTCACTAACAACTGACTGTAATACCGATATGCGCATACGCGCCTTTCTATTCTCATAGCCTATCGCTTCGCGAGACAAATCGTTGCAAAACGTGTCGTTTCATGGCCTTGAGATTTTACTCTCATCGAGCCCAGTTTAATAAACTAATTCAGCAATACATCAATCAGTGGAACAGGTCAGTATGTCACATAGAACAGTTGTTGTTATGAAACATCGCATAAAATACCAAACCAAGTGCACAACTTTAATGATCTGTACGGCTTCGGAGGCTCGCTGCAAATGAAATACGTCAAATGTTGGACAGTTTTGGTCGACTCAGAAACAATTTCGGTAAATGTTCTAAGCCTGTCTTCTAGCTGTAGGTACCCGCGATGTCTATAAGAAAAATACAACGTGTAACTATACAACACGCTACTGAAGCGAAACTTCTTCAAACACACAAACATACCGGGATAGGGGTTAAGGAATTGGCGCCACTGGTGTCGTTTCGACTGTAGAGCGTAGGCACACATATACAAATACATTCATACATTTTTTTACGGTTACACTATACATGCCGGAGTTGCCTGTAACGAACGTTACATTGAAGCGCGCTCACGGCTCAAGCGACCCCCACTACGAACTCGACTACCTGATCGAGTAGAGGAGGAACATCCGTTGCACGATTTGGTTACATAGCAACTTGCATAAAACGAACTTACCCTATCGGCAATAAACAAGTTTCACTTCAAAAAAAAAAAACGGTTTTTTGCAAAGACAAAATTCTAGGTATTAAAAGCATTTACCGTTCCTTTTTTTGCTATCGATCAGTGCATTACTTTCGAGATATATCAAAAAAACCGTCGAAAGAAAGAAAAAGTTTACGTTATGTGAACGTTAATAGTTGATCTAATATCTTCTGAATGGGAAATACTAATTTGTTTTATTTTAAAATCACCATTAAGGTATTGCTAAAGAGGGTAATTGTTTGTATGGATAATTCGCCAGTTATCCTTATCCTCAAATCACAAAGAAATAATTGCAACACCACACATACACACAGATACGTACATGCATTATAAAAGTTACTTATAGTCGCCCGTAAACGTCAGGCAATCGGCGTACTTCACCTGCAGCGATCATACACGGTTGTGTAAATCATCACTAACTTTTGATATATGCGCTTTTCACACAACCCCATACAAAGAAGTCAAACGGGTTTAGATCAGGTCTACGATGACCAAGGTACATGACCCGTACGTCTAATCTAGCACTGACCCATGACACTGACATATAGACCTACTTTTAACACTGTGTACATACGTACGCAATGTAAGCTCACAACTACTGTAGTTTGGCTGTAAATATACACATCGTCAATCGCACTTAATTTAATCTAACAAGAAACAATAAATGAGAACAAAAATGCAAAAGAAATACAGTGTTTTTTCTTGTTTTACAGCGATCGATCACCTCTTGCAGACTTGTTGCTTATTTTAAAAACACCCTGTATACATTTACATGTGACCTAATAAGTATCCTAACAACCTTTGACCGTCGACCCCGATCAACGTTTCCATTTGTCGTAAGATAGATCCCATATAGTGAAGGACCCAAGTACAGCCCATTTCAATTTGTTTGAATTGTGACCTTGAAATCTGCGCGAAGATAGAAAGAATACACACTAGGCGTGAGCGAGACAGAAATAGTTGGAAAAAGTTTGAACGAGCAGAGCTCTCGATGGGCGGGCTTAGGAGATCGGCTAAAACTGTACAGTACTAGACGAAAATGTTTAGTAATTTCTTAAAACAAAAATTTATATAAATTAACAATAGAAAACAAAGCAAAAGTTTTATAGGTGTGTAAAACGTTAAGTTAATTCACTTATTATTTTTGGCTAAATATGCTTTTAAATAAAGCATATTCTTAAATTTTAACGACGCAGCTTAAATAATTTTGCAAATGGTACTGTACACTTTTGTCTACCTCTCGATCGATGATAGGTGAAGAAATGAGCTCCGCAGACAAATATGATTGAATTTGGAATTATGCTACGATGAATCCTAATAAAGGAAAGGGACATATCTCTAATTTCTTGAAACGAACAGTAGCATCTTCAATACTAAAAATTTAAAGAATAGTAAGGGGGAAGTTTTAAAACAAGAAGGTCAAAATTTGAAGATCTTCAATTAAATAAGATGAATAAGCAGAAAATCGAAGATTGTTGTAAATCTGTTAACAAACATTTTAAATAAGTAGTATTAGTCATATGAAGAAAGAGAGGCGCGGATAGACGAATAACGAACGGATAACGAATTAAGTTAGAAGACAAAGAGGAAAGCGTCTTGCCATCTTAGCTTTACGAGTAGGAAATAAGGAGCTAAAAATACTTACGGATGTAGAGTTGAGATATAGGGGTAGAATAGTAATAAACGTAAATATATACAGTGGTTTCATAAGGTAAACACTGGAACCCGCTAAATTTTGTTTGTATTTGCGTATTCATTCGAATAAAATTGTTAGGTACCGGGTAGCTCTTTTAGGAAGTATGACGTCATCGATATTTTTTATTAATGGCAATCTCAATGTATTATTGCGGAATTCAAGAGAGTACAGTTTCTTACATATAAGAGCATTAAATTGTAAACCGCACAAACCAAAACTTTGACTTATTCATGAGAAACTGTAAAACAAGGGAAAATGTAAATTATAAAAAACGGCACGTACCTTTCAATAAAAATTAAATTTCCCGTTAACTTTTGTAGATTATGCATGCAAACCACTACTCATTTAAACAGAGCCCATTACCATTCTATCAATATCTACATTAGATTTATGTCTAACAATTTTTCTGTATCTTCCTCATAAATATTATAAAAGCTGAGGTGTACTCTACATTTGACACTTCAAACGGTATTCATACGTCAATTTTGTCAATATTTACTTGAAGTAAATAAAAACTACACAAAACTCCTTATTTTTAATTAATCAAACATATGTCTCTATTTGGGTAAGTCGCATTAACCTACAAAATTTTACATGTTCCGTTTTTGGGGGCCACTTTGAGACCTCGGAACAACTTGCCCCAATTTATCTATCCATTACTGTTCGCTCATCGCCTTAGTAAAAATATTGTTTTTCTTTTGCAGCATGAGGACTTACACTCGAAAAACTACACGAGATTCTATATCCCTGGACATCATGGAATGAGCTGCAGATGCAGTTATGAAAGGTGGCCAGAAATTAAAAACTGTGGCCAGACAATCAGATGTTTGTTTAATGTACCAAAAATTAAGTAATCTGATTGATTATTAATAAGACATTGTTGATTAATCTGTAATACATGCTTGGCTAAATTCAATACATCTTTTTTTACAAATTATACCTTCCAGAGGTACCTGAACAACATATCCCAGCCTGTTAACGACTAGCCCCAAGCTGGGGCACATTATTACTTTCCGACTGTAGGTGGTTAAATATTAAAATATTAAAAATCGTCCGTGGAATCATCCAAAAAAGTATCTTAATATCAAATTTACATAGGTGGTTATATTTACCATTAATAACAATGCAGCTAGAGCAAGTTTTCTTTTCAGAATATAAAGTCAACTAAAAAACAAAACTTAGCTCTCCCCTTCCTATGACGACCTCTCGCCAGCGTACCTGTACTGTTCTTTCCAAGAAGTTGGAAATATGCCCCTTCCCTTTGTTAGGATGCGCCATAGCATAATTCCAAATTCAATCATATTTGTCTGCGGAGCTCATTTCTTCACCGATCGTCGAGCGAGAGCTAGACAAAAGTGCACAGTTACCGTTGGCAAAATTATTTAAACTTCCTCGTTAAAATTTAAGAATATCCTTTATTTAAAAGCATATTTAGCCAAACATAATAACAAGTAAATTAACTTAACGCTCTACACACCTATAAAACTTTTGCTTTGTTTTCTATTGTTAATTTATATATATTTTTGTTTTAAGAAATTGCTAAACATTTTCGTCTAATACTGTACAGTTCTAGCCGATCTCCTAAGACCGTCCATCGAGAGCTCTGCTCGTTCAAGCTTGTTCCAACTATTTCAGTCTCGCTCACGCCTAGTGTGTATTCTTTCTATCTTCGCGCAGATTTCTTCAAGGTCACAATTCAAACAAATTGAAATGGGCTGTACATGCATAGGCAATAAAGAGGCGAGTGGAACAATGAAATAAGGTGCATTAGTGGTCAATCTCCTTTTGTGGACGATTTTCTCGATATCATGCAAATTTTTCACGTCATTAAGGAACTCAGAAAGGCTAGTGCTTCTATAAATTTATTGTAAATGCATGACTTTATTAAAATAAAAAATTGAGTTTTCCTCCAATAATATTAAATGACCGTATATCGGATGTTTGCCTTGAGGCGTCACGCATTTCAGGAGAATTGCCTTCGTACTTGGCATATGAGCAATTTGGAAATAGTTTGAATTGCAATTTGTTGTTCCGAAAAGGCATTTTTTCTTATAATTTTTTTCTTCTTGTATAAAATAGGATATTTCCTTGTACCCATATTTTAGATGCGTAGCAAAGTCAAGAGAACATAATGACTTAATTTTTCTGTTATGACGCGATTTTTGGTAAAATAGTGTAAAAATACACTGATCGTGAATTTCGTTATTCACAATCTGAGATGTTTAGGCAAACTTTTTTAATTTAACAATTAGTGAAGGAAAAAGATTTTTTTTTCGTTTTTGTGAAATATCCTCTCTGCAGTGTATTTTTCCTCATATTTATTTTAGATGTATTTTAATCCCCATATAATCTAAAAAATGATGTCAGTTAGAAGTCGCTAAGTACTTTTGTTTAGTAAGAAATAGTGTTGAAAGTCAAAAAAATGATTTTTTTTACATTAATTCATTTATGCCAAATGCCCTATATGTAGTACACCCCTTTTTGCTCAGTTTTTTTTATCAAACAGTTTCAGTTCAAAATTACAATGGATAATTGTGCCAAGTGTAATAAATCTATCGTAGTGAAAAATAAAAGCAATGAGGCTGATTTTGTCGAGTGTGACACTTGCAACTCTAAGTTCCACCCGAGCTGCACATCACTCTCAGCATCTGAGATTCGAGTTTTCGCACTTAAGGCTATTAAATGGCAAATGAAATTTTCTTGCTCCTCATGTCTCGAGGGTGATCCACGTACGATTATAAAAAATACACATCTACTTCTTACTATCTATCTTTTTTCCTCATAAAATCTCTGCCCCAAAAAGTTTTCCAAAAAATTTTTATTGGTTTTTTTTACAATAACTCAATTGATTTTTATGATATCAGGTTCATCTAAAAACCATTTGAAAGGTAATTTCAAGAGCTATAAGTCCGTATTAAATTTAATCGTTTAAAACCCTTATTTTTTAAAAGATAAAAGGTTAAAGGGCCCCTGTTACATGGTTCTCGAAGTAAAATGCAGGGTTTAAACGTTTCTATCTCGGTTATTATTTATCCCACAAAAATAAAAAAAAAATTAGAACCTTTCTTAAAAAACAAACTCAAATTTCGTTCTCGAGTTATCGAGTATTTTTGGAGTTATTATCAAAAGAAAATGAAATTTACGAAAATTAGGAAAATGCTTAATTTTGATGGTATCAACTTCTTCTGCATCTCATTTGATAGGTATTTCTGTGCACTTTGAAAAGTGTTTAGTAAGTATATTTTATAAAATGCATCGTTTTCCCGTTATTTAAGCTTGAATACTTAGATTTGAGTACTCTCAGGAAAAAAGTATACATTCAATTACCTATAGCTCACTTTGAATTAATATTAAAAGTTTTTTTAAGTATGGAGTTTTTTTGTTTTTTTATTAGCTTCAATTTTGGTAATGACAACTTTTTCGTAAAACCTTATAGTTTTTGAGTTGTTTATGAAAAACTGTTTTAAAACGTATTTTTTTCACGAAAAATCAAAATCTTTGATCTTTAGTAACTCAAAACGTATTGATTTATCCTAATAACTGTATATAACAAATTTTGCTTAAAATTGGTCTCTCTATCAATTTCTGGGGTTATTTTTCATAAAATTCCCGAGAAGGGATGGCATCCACCCCCAGGGTAAAAGCGCAAGTTGGCACTATGTCACTTTTGTTTCTTCAGGAACCCTGTAACTACTCACCAGTTTTCATGAAAATCGATGGAGGTTCAAGGAAATCGGAGGTGAAAACCTTCAGTGACTGTACTATATAGTCTATTTGCGATGCTGATTTATGCGAAATATTTACACAATATTTATACTATAGTTACTTACATTGGTTAAATGTAAAATGTTTATCTAGCAGTTTGACCCGAGTTCGATGGTTGACTTAGTTTTAGTCAATCGACAGCGACGATAGGAATGTTAAGTCATTTGCATACATGTGCATGTACCATATGTCTACGAATTTTTATACTATACAGAGTGTTCCCACAGTTACTTATTTGGTCGGGTGAATTCAGAAACCACTGGCGAGGCAACTTATTTGTGTTCTAACGATGTAGCCTTCGAGTTAAGTTGTAGACGACGGTTCCTCTGTTTGTCTTCGTGTAGCAACAAAATTTATTTTATTTTTGGTTTGTGGTAAGTTAAAAAGTCAAGGAATGCTTTGATCTAGTGACAGTTACGAAATCTAATGTTTCATATTTTACACGTATCTAAATTCCTCACAAAAGTCACATTTCGGGTTTTGGTTGTAACGTAACGACAAGGGCATTTTTCCTACGGTAGGATCCCTTATTTTATTTTACTGTGTCATTTTAATAAAACAGTAAACTGTAATGCTATACTTTTTATTTTGTTTATGTTTTGTATTTGCAATTATTACAACAGGTATTAATCAGTTATATAGAATGCAGCGTAGGTTAATCGATTTTTCAGCTTTTGTTTTGTTCCCTTGTATTTATTATATTTGCTCTATTAAAACTACCAAGTAAAAGGACAAAGCAGCTGTAATAATCTGTAACAAAACAAGAAGGATTCTAACTATTATATTATAACAAATTTATATTTAAAAAACATACCTCGCAAACAACCAGTACAACATGAATAAAACCAAAAATTAAGCCGTGTAATAGCTGCTCATCAAATAGGGAATCAAGACATCCTTTTTGGAATGCTTCGCTAATGGCACACCTGCTCTGCTGCATGTTCTTACAGCAAGCAGCTGGAGCAGATTTATTCCTCCATATTGGTTCCCAGTCATTAGGTCCGTTAACAGCACAACATTTATACTAAAATTGAAAGGCAGTTAACTGCAACTTTTATTTTTGTACTTTAACAAACACATCATCAAAGAATTTCTTACAAAATCTTACAATTAGTATCTAGGTAGATGTCGTCAAAATATTATTATTAAAAAATTTTTTTGAATTCCTCAAAATAAGTTTTATGCCAAAACAAGCTCCATAAATGAAAACTTTATCACACGATGTATTTAAAATAGGAATATTTTAAAGTGCGCGATCCTTGAATAAGTACCCGAGTAGAATTTATTGTGGGAATTCCCTAACTCCAATTGGATCCCTATTGAAGATTGTTAGATTTGCCCAAGCTGGGCATTTTCCACCTATGCCCAATGTATTTTGATCTGCGTATTTTAGGGAAAGCTCAAACTTTGCCCAAATTGGTCATTTTCTACCTATACCCAATAAATTTTGATCTGCGTATTGTAGGGCAATCCTAAACTGCACTTCCGAACTACAATCTTATTGAAGAATAATTAATAATTATTTAATTTATAAATAAAAATAGTTATTTTATTTACTGTATCCTATTAGTAATTGTTTTTATACTTTCATGTAACAGTTAGCTATTTATTGGAAAGTATTTATTGGGACCCAATCGGGATTTCCTTAACTATATCTTAGACTTATTTTATTGTAACCCAAGAAAACATTTTGAAGAGCAAGTGGGGGTAGCGTGCGTTCGTGACCAGTATAACTACTAGTAGTTTACAAAACAGTTTAGACATACCCTTTTTTTTTCGTATATCAACATCGATATTCTCAACAATTTATTTATGTACTATGCCAACAAGTTCATCGCAAGAAAGACGTCGTGAACACGTTTACGCATCAGAAGATTTCAGGAAAAAAATCGGGAGTTATCTTTAATACATGAAGAAGAAAATTTGA